GAAGGAAAATCCAGAAACTAAGTATGATATACATTTCATTTTAAATTTTCAGTGTGGGCTGTTTGATCTTAAAGGGAAGCCATCTTTTCATTTTCCCCAAACTAATTATTAACACTCCTTCCTGATAGGAAACAGGAGTAGGTTGGTAAACTTGCTATGGCCAGAGTAATTAGACCTCATATATAGCCTGTTTTCAGTCCTTTGACTTAAAAACAGTTGTTTAACAGTCTCTGTGAAGGAAGAACAGGAGAATGTTCTGCATTAACAGAAGTTAAAAGCTGAGTGTAGTGACACATGCCTAGTCCTGTACTCCAGAGGTGGAGGCAGTATAATCACTTGATTCAGGGTTTCAAAACAAGTCCAGGCAATATAGAGAGAACCCACCTGAAAAAGAAAACAATGTAAAACCCAACCCAAACAAAACAAAACCCCATGGCTATCAGCAACAAAATCTAAGTCATGGAAAATTCTATAGGCAAACATAAGATAATGTCTTAATGATTTTTTTTTGTTGTGGTTAAGACTTCTTAACATGACCCAAAAATATAAACTAAAAATTTTAAATAGTTCGGAATAAAAATTATTTGTTAAAAATATATTTGATAATGAATTGATATCTCTAATTCCTTTGTAAGAAGACAAGTCAATTAAAATGGGCAAGACATCAACAAGTACATGCGGAGATTTTCAATGTTTTAGTCATGAAGGAAATGCAAATCAAATCCACAATAGTTACAAGTTCCCACACACTTGATGAATGTGGGGGAAACTGGGACTTTCATACAACAGCTATTGGTGATATGAAATAATGCAGTGCTTTGGAATAGTTTGGCAGTTCTTCCCCAAGTTAAACAACGTGTCACCATATGAACCATCTCTTCCATTCCTAGCTATATGGTCAAGGTAAATAAAAACATGTCCAAACTGGAATGTGCATACAAATACTCAGAGCAGCTTTATTTGTCTCAAACTGGAAAGAATGTAAATATTAATTAATAGGCATCAACATATATTGGGGGCATGTATACAATGTGATAAATATGAAGTGTGGATAGGCACATAAACACCTGGAAACATCTAAAAAATGGCACTGAGAGGCCAGACAAACACTGTGGAAGTCCATTTATATAGAAGCTAAACGATACTGATGGAAAGCAGTGATTGTAAGGATAGGGGACAGGGAGGAACAGAAAGGAGGAGTTAGTGGCTAAGATGCTGAATGTTCACTGACTTGACAGTAAGGATGGTTTTAAGGGTACAGACACCCATCACAATCCACCCACAATTGCACACTTTACGCTGTATATACACCTATCAATTTACCAAAGAACATTAATGAGTCAGGAACCTCCAAGTACACGGTAAGCCTTCATTTCTGCTCATTGCCTGGTGAGGGGGAGGGACCAGGTTTAACATCATTGAGCACAAAAGGAGGTACTGTTCACACAAATGTGCAAAGCCTTGAACTCGATGCTACTTTTAATATAAGAATGGAAGAATCTGCAGAAGCCAGGCATGGTGGCCCAAACCTGTAATTCCAGCACTTAGGAGGTAGAGGCAGGAGGATTAAGAGTGGAAGGCCAGCCTGGGCTACACAGGATTACTCAGGCTTAAAACAGCACTCCTCCAAAGAAACCCCCTCAGTAAGAAAATATCCAGGAATCTCAGAGGGCCATTGTTTTGTGAAATCACAGATGAGTCGGGATTCACAAAAATGTGAAGCTAGCTACAAATGCCAGAGCAAGTGGGGACTCAGAGGAAGGTGGGTGTGATCCTTCCTCTTCTTTCATACTACTTTTCCATGGTGGCCATCTCTATATGGATATTTCACAGACCTCAGAACTATCTAGATGACCACAGTGGCTGGTAAGGTGTTCACTCACACCCCATAGCAGCTCTCATTAACAAACTTCAATTTCTGTGTAGGAAAATTGCTCCCCATCTGGGACCAGCTACAGTCTGACTTTCTACACATCATCCCAGGTGCTCCATAATCCAGAGTATTTGATCTCCAGACTCAGAACTGTCTTAGAGAAACCTGTGTGCATTCCGAACTTCCCTAATACACCCCATCCTCCCCACTCCCAATTAAGGCACTTTTCAGGAGCACCCTCCTGCCCCCCTCACTGAAATCCATATATTCTACTCCATGTTTGGAAAGCTGCAAGGATGGGTGCTTCAATGTTGCCTGAAACTTGGTAGCAGAAAACAAAACAAAACAAAAAACAAATGAAAAACACCAAAAACAAACAAACAAAAAAGAACCCAACCAACCAACCAACCAACCAACCAAACAAACAACAACAGCAACAACAACAACAACAAAAAAAACCCCAAAGAACAGAAGGCAGGTATAGTGGTGCCTCTTAGGAGACGGCTGGACTTTTCTGTTAAGGGAACTGTTGGACAAGTCTCCGCATTGTATTATGGGGTCCTGTGAGAAGCCTGCATCGTGGGCAGATAAGCCCTCCCCAGTAAGGGTAACATCACTCTAGGCTCTTTCTAGGTCAGATTTGACTCTTGCTTGTAACCTTGAATCCACCACCTATCTCTTTATTCCTGGGAACAGCTCCTCTCCACATGGGGAAGCCCCTTTCCAAGAATCTGTCTTCTTTTCAACCAACAAAAATGTTGAAAATTACACCTCATGATAAATTCAGAGAAGACCATCTTTCAGTTTCCTGGAGACACTGCTAGGACATTCACACACAACGTGAAAAGCACTCAAAGTCTTACAAGGCAAATAGTCCAAAGGTGAAAGTATGGGGGAACAGGAAGAGGAGGAACTAGAAAACAGCAGGACTTTTGATAGTTTAAACTTTTTTATCATCTAGTTGTCCCTCGAAACCCACAGATTATCGATCAGCTCTATTCCCCTCGAAACACACAAATGACCAATCGGCCCCATTCCCCATCCAGCTTGAGGGATGAAGCAGTTTTCAGGCACAAAACAAGGGAGAGCACAAGTATCCCTCTGGTTACTCTGACTTTATTCCAGGAGAAACCGTTCTGTTCATTTTACATACCTGATTACCATACCTGAGAAGACCCACTAATTTAACTGTCTTGCTGAAACACCTAGGAACGGGATCTAAAGTAGTGGACTGACAAACAAATGTGCTGCTGTGTATTGAGGCAACCAATGGGGACCCTGGAGCATTTCAGGGTATTCCGCTCTGAAGTACTCTACACATCTTTCCCTGTAGGCCACACTGTCTGCTGAAAATGCCTGCACAGGACCCTTCCTTTAGGGACTTATTCTTGGGTATAGCAGCTGGTGACTGGCTTGGAGGACAGGTATCATTCATTCACTTCCTAGACCATGAAAATCAATATCCAAGAGCATGTGACAGAGCATGCACAGAGCCTCCCACTGTGGGAACCTGCTCTGGATGAGATCTAGTTTCCTGTATCTGTGCCAGCCCTAGTAGAGATTGTCTGAGCAATTACTCCACCAGGAACTTAAAAGACACTGTTCTTAGTATCTCTTTTTCTATTGGGAAACCTAAGGGAAGATACTCTGGATTACCCATGAGCCATTAAAGCTAACCACTCACTACATAGCTCAAATCTAGAATTGCAAAAGATCAATGCTTTTTCACTAGTACCCAGCATGGGGCTTGGAGTGCAGACACAAGGCTGAGCATGACACACAGCTCACAGACAAAAGAGCAATCACAGCACTAGAAGATGGGGATCTACTGGAGAGATAAGAACAAGTTACAAACGGGAACTTTACACAAAACATTTTTATATACATAAAACCTCAGTGTGTGTGTGTGTGTGTGTGTGTGTGTGTGTGTGTGTGTGTGTGTGTGTATGTGTATGTGTGTGTTCTTGTGATCCTGGGTTTCCAGGTCTTCCCATATCCTCTTGTCAGGATGCAGCTGTCTTTGAACCTCACTCAACTGCCTCCAGCTCACCTGTACCACCAACCTGTCCTTAGGTAGCCCTTGTGACGAAATCTTTCTCTCCTCTGTGATAGGAGAGGACTGTACAGTAGCTTGCTACCCAGGGTGCTAGGTTGGCTATATCAAGGGAAAGATATCCTGGGGACAGCAAAGGAGGAATAGGACTGGCTCTGGCTTCCCTTTCAGTAAAATTCCAGTTAAAGAGCCAGCCAGACTTAAGGGAAGGGAGGGGGTTGTCACATTACTCAGATGGCCAGGTTTGCCACCACACCATCAGTCATGGGTTGGAAAGGCAACTTTAATATTCTAAGAAGTGTCATTTCAAAGGTAACTGTCTAGGGGCCACCTAAGTGCAAATTCCTGGCCTGTCATCACCACACAGCGGGTAGAGGGGTAGAAGTGGCCAGTATGGCCTTCACTGACTGGGAGGGGAGGAGACTGTACCCAGTAGAGTGGTGGGGGGACAAACACTGCCATGTCTTACCTAGCCCCTGCTCCTGTAAGAGACCAGAGGAAAGGGGCTCCTTTACCCAAAAAGAAGCCCTCAGGGTCCCTTAGCCTTAACCTCTCTGCAAGATTTTTTATAGACCCTCCAAGCAGCAGCAGGGGACACATATACAGAGGGTCCAGGTTTTCACTGACAGTGTTATGTTCTAACTAGAAACACAAACAACTCTTAAGGGAGGCAACCACCCAACTAACACGTTAACAAGAGAAAGGACATGGGTCGTCCGTCTGTAAACTTCAAGGGGAACTGTACTTAGTGTTAGCTGGACACTACTGCATCTGTCCCAACCACAGCAGGCAGTTCCATGTGCATGGGAGAGACCAACTGTATTATGCAAGCCTGCTCTCCTGGAGACCTCACTGACACACCCAAGCACACACAGGAGTACCCTGCCTAGGCTTCTTGAGGAACCTTCCTGTGCAATCTCTAGGCATTAACTGAATGATCAAACACTAGGGAGGGAGCCCTCCTTTTCTACCTATCAAGGAAAGGGTAGGGCCACCCTGTCACTCTGAGTTGCTTCTGTTTCACACTGGGGAAAGGGGCTACCCTGTCATTGAGTAGCTGCCCTGTTTCCAGACTCAAGGTGAGAATGGGCCCTGGGCCTTCTCAGCACACAGGAAACTTTCATTTCTTTCACTGTTGCTTTCTTCTGCTGGCTGGGAGTCCAGATCCTGGCTGAGAGGTGGCAGCTTCTCCAAACCTCAGGTGCTGGCAGTAATCAGCTTCTGCTTCTTGTTATCTTTGTCGTCATGGATACACAAATGGCGACACTGCAGCAGCTTATTCTCAAAGACCTGGCCACAGCGTTCACACGCTTGGGGCTTCTCACTGGTGTCTATGGACTGGGGATCTGATGAGCTGCCTTCTCTGGTGTCCTGGGGCAGAGACCCACGGGGGCCAACACTGATGCTTCAGGAGGATGCAGTCACGTGGGAGCCTCATGCCACCATGCGCCACCTGGTGTTTGAAGAGGTTGGCCGGGAGACGGAAGGCCAGGCCACAATCACTGCACAGGTATGGCTTCTCACCACTGTGCACACGTTGGTGTAGGCTAAGGCCCCAGTGGCCACGGAAGGTCTTACCTCACTCGCGGCATGAGAAGGGCCTGTCGCCACTGTGGCTGTGCTGGTGGTGGATGAGCTGCGAATGCCCTTGAAGTTCTTGCTGCACTCCTGACAGATGCAGGGCTTCTGGCCACTGTGGGTACCCTGGTGCTCAATGAGGTTGGAGCTGCCACTGAATGCCTTACCGCACTCACTGCACTCATAAGGCCGCTCATCGCTGTGAATGTGCACATGCTGAAGCACCGCAAAGCTCTTCTGGAACAGCTTGCTGCACACTCGGCACATAAATGGCATCTCGCTGCTGTGGATGATCTGGTGCTTGACAAGAATGGAATTGCGCGTGAAGATCTTGCCACATTCCTCGCACTCAAAGGGCTTGTTGCCGCTGTGGATACACTGATGCTCCAGCAGTGCAAAGCTGCACCAGAAGAGCTTCCCGCACTTGCTGCGCTTGTAGAATTTCTCCCCACTGTGAATGATCCTGTGCATGATGAGATTGGGGCTTTGGCTGAAGGATTTTCTGCAGTGCTGACACAGATAGCGCTTATCCGTGATTCTGGAGTGCTGGTACCTTACGATAGGATTTGGCCTGGAGTCATGAGGATGTCTTGGCACTGACAATCCTGAGGTGCCTCCAAGGAGACCTCTTCCAAAAAGTTTTGGTTTTGAAGTCACCATCTTTCTCTTTACCCCATTCCCTGTAATGACAGAGCCACAAACAGTGTCACTTCTTTGGGTTTTTGTGGAGCATTTCCCCGATTTTTATCTTTCCACCAAGAAACTGCAAGTGCGGAATAAACAAAAACAAAACCATGAGGCAGGTTGGAGGGAGAGTTTCTGCTCTTTTTAGAGGGTATGCTGGAAAGTGGGGCGGAGCACCAGTGGTAGACACAAGGGAGGTGTGCACTGAGGAGTCCAACACCCCTCACTAAAGAGGATGTCTTACGCAAAGTATTAGTGTCCACACCACCGTCCTTAGTCCAGCCCTTGTTTTTTATCCTTGGCACTAGCAAGCTGGCTGAGGGTGCCTTACTCACCAGCATGGGATCCTGTTGAAGTCCCTATTCTGCCATCTGTAATCCAGGGCTTCTCCCCTCATTCCAACGAGGACACCCGATTAGGCTTCGAGAAAGCAAATCCTGTTCATAGAAATGAAGAAAATCAGAACCTTTGTAGTTAAGGACAGAATAATTTCTAAACAGAGCTCAGCCTGTGTCTTCAGAGAGCAAAGGACTCCTCGGAAAGTATAGCCAAGAAAGATCACTCGTAGTCATACGCTTGGGGCAGCATGTTTTTCCACTAAACTCAAGTGAGAATTCTAGAAGTCTTAAGAGAAAATGTGTCTCCAACTTTTTCTTGATGGTCAGAGAGAACCCAGTGAAGGAAACAGTCTCCCTCCAAGGGGTCAGATGACAGGGGTTGTCTGTAGAGTCAGAAAAAATGAAAGAGAGCTTATTCTAACAATTCCCTACCCATCCCAAAGGAGCCATCTCAATTAGGAAGATGGCAGTAAAGAGGAAGCCCAAGCCTAGACACTGTTCATTAGAGGAAGAAGTTGGGTCACGTCATTCACTTCTGTGAGTCTTGATTTTGCCTGGGACTGGCAAGATGAATATCCTCTTGTAGATACACAAACACAGGACGATGGAGCATGTTAAAGTAAAAAGAGAGCAGCTGGCTGGAAGTTGCCCCAGATCCTGCCTAGATTTCTCCAGGATTGGAAAGCAAGTGCACTGCCTGGCCCTAGCATAGGGCCTCATGGCCAGTGTAAGTGGAAGATGTTACTGACTTCTATAAAGCAAGCTGAATGTCAAATACATCTGTTGTAAAACAATAGAATGAGTCTAAAATGCTGCAAGTAAATATTCTAATGTAATAGGCATCTGTTTCTGTATAGAAAAATATTTTGTCAACCTCTGATTTTATGTGCAAAATGAGTCTGAGAGGTCATTACTGAATTTATCGTGAGCATTTACAAGTCCAAATTATTTAGAAGAACTTCTTTTTTATATCACAACTGATCTACAAAGTATGAATGGATCAGATAAAGAAATGTACTTATTCTTTGGTTCACAGCAATGAACAAGCAAGAAAATTCAGAACTGGAGTCCAGAGACAGTAGGTGTGACTGGTATATATACATGGTAGGATTACTTACCCACTGTCACCAAATGGCTGTAGTTCTCAAGCATGACCTGCTTGTAGAGATTCCTCTGTTTGAGATCAAGAAGCTTCCATTCTGTCTTTTTAAAGTACACAGACACATCCTCAAAAGATACCGGTTCCAATCTCATCATGCACAGGATCATTCACAGTGGGGAGAAACTCTACAAGCGCAGCAAGTGCCTGTCCTTGGTATTATTTGTCAAAAGAATAAAATACTATAAAGCAATTTTTGCACCAAGCCCTCACTCACTGTCTTTGTACCTCTCTCAGCCCTGACTATGGCCGCCATTCTTCTGAGAGCGAAGCCCAAGGTCAGTAGTCAGCCTCTCCCTCACTGTCCCAGAACTTGCCCTGAGCTGTCTCCCTCTGATGTTCTGCTTGGATCTTAGAGTTCTCAGGCCAGGAGCGCTTTGCCGCCCCAAGCCCTGTGGCATGCTGCTTTCCTGAGTTCCCTTTGCTAGGTTTTCCACATCTGTCTGTTCCTCTTTCCTGTCTCAGCTGCTGAATTTCTCCTCATTGCTGAACTCGCCTCATTGCTTGCATCTAAGCTTAACCTGGAAAGAGGCAGTACAAGACGGTGCTGTATGTCAGTGATATGTCTCAAAGAAAGGGTGGATTTCTTCTCCGGAGGCCTGAGATGTAGGTGTTGGTGGGTTCTGTCTTCATCCTGAAGGCTGCTCTTCTTCCGTCTATCAGCCATTGGGTAGTATCTGGTGATCCCCAACTTATAGCTGCACCCTTCTAATCCTTTTCTGTATCTTCACATGGCTGTCTTTTCTATGTGCACTTGGATCCAGCCCCCTTCACTTCCTTCTTTTAAAAAATCTCTTTCTTCCGCCCATCATCCTACTCCTTCAGCTTTCCAGACATTCCTGGAAGCTCCATTTATGGGTTTCTCTTCCTTTACTGTCTGGGTCCATGTTAAAAAACCAAAAACATACCTGTACCTCCAGGTGCAGAGTGAGAGTGAGCAGAAAGAGAGGAGTGGTCCATTGTGAGGCACAGTGGAGCAGGATGTGCAGGAGATGGGTGACGTGATGTCAGGCTGAGAATGGCAGTGGCGATGTGCTTGCGAAGGAACACAGGCAACAACAGGCCTGACCTCTCCATCAGTGTGGCTAAGAAGGAGGGATTGAAATCGGATCCTGTGGGAAAGCAGCAGATGTTCTGAACCACTGAGCCATCTCTCTAACCCCTTAAATGATCTTTTATGTCTGATTTCATAGAAACTTCATCAGAAGCAAGGCGAGAGTGGCACACACCTTTAATTCCAGCAGAGGCAGACAGATTTCTGTGAGTTCAAGGCCAGCCATGTCTACATATTGAGTTTCAAGACAGCCAGGATTTTTACACAGAGAAACCTTGTCTCAAAACCCTCCTCCAAAAAGAAACTTCATCAGAAGTACGAATTTATAATTGGCCAATGCTGGTTGACAGTTCATCAAGGATGATAAGGGACCTCAGGGCAGTTTAAATGGTCAGTAAATATGTGGCTGTCCTCATGTCCCCTAGTCTCTATCCCCTCTTACTCTCTCCTGTGGCAAACAAACTGTAGTCACCCACCAGGGCATGTGAAAACTCTGTGAATCATTGCCCCTCCTGACTTCCTTCTGGTTTCTCTGCTACTCCAAACAGGACTTCCATGTTGTTTTCAAGCCTAATAGAAGAGCATTCTTGAAGCAAATTGTCATTTGCCTGACTAGTGTCTACACTAATTGATGTACAGAAGTCTGAGGCTATGTAAACCTTGTCTACTCTATCAACCCTCAAGCCCTTGGCATGGGAACCAATTTCCTGGTGTCCTCACTCAGCCTAGACTTTAACAGCCAAACCATCTCTCCAGCTGGATAAGAGTTTGAGTAAGTGTGTGCGTGTGGGGGGGGGCTGGGAAATGGTTCATCAGTAATATACTTGCCTTCTAAGCAAGAGGGTCTGAGTTTGCTATCCAAAACCATGCAAAAGCTAGGTCTGGGGCAGGACAGATGACTCAATAGTTAAGAGAAATCTGTTCTTTTAGAGGACCAAGTTTGGTTCCCAGAACACATATGCTGGCTCTCAACCATCTATAACTCCCGTTCCAAGGCATCTGACACCCTCTTCTGAGCTCTGAGGGCACCAGGAATTCACACAATACACACATTAAGGCAAAACATTCATATAAATGAGGTAAATAAAACTTTAACAATACAAAAATCTGGGCCTGATGGTGCACATGTATAATCCCAGTACAGGGGAACTGTATACAGGTAGACTTCAGGGGTTTACTGGCCTACTAGGTAAGCTCCAGGCTAAAAGAGAGACATCTCAAAAACAAAGTGAATGGATCCTGAGATTGCCCAGTGGGGAGATATTGGAAGTGTCAAGAATGGATATTAGATGTCCAGCACCTATATAAATGCCAGGTGGGTGTGGTGGCCCATCTATAATCCCAGTACACACAGGAAACACAGACAGGGATCCTTGGAGCAAGCTATGTAGCTACACTAACTAGGTCGGTTGGCCAGCTCTAGGTTCAAGTGAGAGACTGTCTCTCCATATATAAGGCAGAGAGTTGTTGAGGAGGACACTTAATGTCTACCTCTGGCCTCCATATATACATATATGCACATTCATGTGCACTACCATGCATGTATGTCCTCACATAGGGAAACATGCATACACTCAATGCCTATTCTCCCCCAACACAAGGAAAACAAATCCATGTGTATGGTTACTCAATGAGTTAAACACAGTTACCACATGATCAGGCAATTCTACTCTGAGTGCATACTCAAAATAATTAAAACCAGGTGTCTACACTAAAAACCTATACACCCACATTCATAGCAGTCACACTAGTCATCAGACAGAAACATATGCAACCATCCATCAACAGACAAATAGATAAACAAAATCTGGTATATTTAAACAATGAAGTATTATTTGTGCATAAAATGAAGGAAATTGTGATGTATGCTACCAGATGGATAAACCCTAGGGATTCTTTTGTGAAGTTAAAAATGTCAGACCCAGACACAAATGGCCACATATTTTATGGTTCCATTTATATGATGTAATGACATGTCACAAGAGCTGTGTTGACCTAGTTTTTGGTTGTGGCTAAAATCTTTGTCTTTTATAGGCTGTTGCTAAGCCCCCATTCCTACCACATCATATCTTAAGGTCCCAGTTTTTAGGGCTATTAAATACTCACCCCCAACTGTTTTTTTTTTTAAATCTCATTCTCAATCAGGGACTAGATCCCAGAAAACAAGGGGCTCATACAGTTCTACAGGGAATTGGCCCAATTCCTGTTATATACACAATAACCTAACAGTTTCCCGTCCCTAAACGCACCTCCATGTAGCCCCAAGTGGTGGTTTTCTTTCATTCAGGAGTGCAAGTAAGATAATACTTGCGCCTTCATTTTGCTACAATATCACTGTGTAGTGAATCCCCCACCAAATCTTTATAAAACATAATGACTCTGAAAGAGGCAAATTCATAGCCAGAAACCTGGGCTGGGAGGCCAGATTCAGAAGATTCAGAAGATTCAGAACTAGAGATATATGCAGGGCTGAATAACACAGTGAAAGCATTGAATGCCACTGAGTTATATCCTTTAAAATAGTGCTGTTAATTTTTTTAATTTTATTATTTTATGTGTATGGGTGTTTTCAGTGTTTTTCTTGCATGCATGTCTATGTATCAGTGCATTTCTGGTGCTCACAGAGACCAGAAGCAGGTATTGGATCCTTGGAACTGCAGTTACAGATGGTTGTGAGCTGCCATGTGAGTATTGAAAATTGAATTCAGGTCCTCTGCAAGAGCAACCAGTGCTCTTAAACACAGAGCCATCTTTTCAGCCCTATAAAAGGTGTCTCTTATGTTAAGTGACTCTTGACTCATTATAAAAGGAGGGAAAGGAGGCTGGGGAGATGGGGTCAGTTGGTAGTGTTTACTTACCAAGTAGGGGGACCAGAGGAGGTAGAGAACAATTGGGTAAGATGTCCCCATATCAACTTCTGGCTTCCCTGCATGTATATGCACCTGAAATTACACACAAAAACATGTGCGCAAATAAGTAGGGAAAGGAATTCTTTCAATCATGTGGATGCCCACAGGCTACATGAGCATTTCATTATTGACATTCTGCAACACTAAAGAAGTTTGGAGGAGATTGCCCAAGTGTTTTGGGATAAAACTATTATTTAAAAAAAAAAAACATGATCATGGGGTGGTGTTGGCACATGCCTTTAATCCCAGCACTCAGGAGGCAGAAGCAGGAAGATGTGTGAATTTGAGGCCAGCCTGGTCTACAGAGTGAGTTCCAGGACAGCCAAGGCTACCCAGAGAAATGTTGTATGGAAAAACCAAAAACCAAACCAAACCAAGAAAAACTGTAACACAAATAAATAAAAGACCCAGAAATTGATATTGGTGTTCAAACTTCAAGGTGAAGCTCAGAAAAGCAAAGCAGGCAGCCACTATTTCTCACCTCTAGTTCAGGCTGAAAGGGCTGATCCAAGTATAAGCTCTTCACCAAGTCTCAAACTGCTGCCTCTCCTTGGTGTGGCTGGAGAATGAATGCCTCTCTGAGACCTTGCTTCTGTCTTACGTACTTCCCTAAAGTTGGGATTAAAGGTGTGAGCTGTAATTCTCTTTTAAACGGATTCATTCTTGTGTAGATCTGGGTGGCCTTGGACTCACAGAGTTCCGTCTACCTCTTAACCCAAGTCCTAGGATTACAGGTGTGTACCACCACCTCCTGGCTTCTGGCTGCTGGGAGTAAAGGTGTGTGTCACCACTGCCTGATCTCTATAGCTTGAGGCTGACTTTGCTTTCTGAATCCTCAGTCAAGATTTAATGAATCATAAATAATATATCACTACACATATGTTTCAATGCTTTGTCTCCAGCTGGTGAAACTGTTTGGGAAGGATAAAGAGGTGTGGCCTTGTTGGAGGACGTGCATCACTAGGGTTGTGGTCTTTGATGTTTCAAAGGCCCAGAGTACCCTCTGTCTCCTGCTTATAGATCAGTATGTGAACTCTCAGCTGGTGCTCCAGCCACCTGTACCATGCCTTCACTCTGACATCACAGACTCAAGTCTTCTGGAAGTATAAGCCAATTTAAACTATTTAATAAGTTGCCTTGGTCATGG